GCTATCCACACGCGCCATACAAACTCAACACGCGTTGCCAAAAGGGGAGCCGGCAGGAGGAGCGTCGCCGGGGATGCCAAGGCGCGGTGAGTAGCTTCGAGGCGAGGCAGGGGGAGAAAAAGTTTGCAAGGCAGGGATTGAATTGCCCGGGGCGCCTGGCAGCAGGGATCCGTGGCTGGCTGGGTGTCTGCGTGTAGTAGGTAGGGGTGAAGTCTCCCGCTTGGTGGAGATCAGCCTTGGCGATGGAGATCGGCCCTTGGACCAAATCTCTCCGCCGCCGCCTCTACCCCGCTTTACAAAGGCATCTTCTAGCTGCCCACCGTTGGAAACTGGACACTGGGCAAGCCGTAGGTCTGAGGCGGCAGCGGAGCGGTTCGCATGAAGGAGAGACCTGTCAACACACACTGACTGGCCCCCCGAGAGCTAGCCGATCCCTGGTTTTTAAGGTTCTGACGGTGTTTATGTTTGTTTTTTTTTAATTTCTCAAACCATTCTAAGCAGTCTAGAGTGCTGTGAGTGCAATGAAAGGGCGGGTGTGCATTTTCTAAATGCAGGAGAGCAGACGAGGACCGTTGCATTCAGGTTTTACGCAGAAACACCATGCTGGTTACCAGCACAAACAACAGATGCTGGATGAGATGGACCCTGTGGAGGATGCAGCAGGGCTCTTCTTGTAGGAGGGCTGAGAGAACCTGTGGCCCTCCAGGGGTTGCTGTACTACAACTCCCATCAGCCCCAGCCAGCCTGGCCAATGGTCAGGGATGATGGGAATTGGCCATTGGCCACGCTGACTAGAGTTTAAGCCTATTTGGAGGGCCACGGGTCCCCCTCCATCTCATAGAAGAGACCATCAGGGGGTTTTGGGAGGGGAGGGAGGTTTCCATCGTGGTTTGCTCCCCAAATAACCGTTTATTGAGCATTCATCCTGAATTGTTTGCACGAAGTTTGCAGTAGGGGTTGTTTATTGAGCATTCCTGCATGGAGGTTAGATGGGTTGAGTGTGTGTTAATTTCACCTTTTCCAGTGCATTTTCTTGTCAAATAAGTTTTTTTGAGGAGGGGTGTTACTCAAGAATGGCAGATCAGCTTTAATTGTGCAACATGATTTTGTGCATGACACGTGCCCGCATACAGGGATAGTTTGGAAAGGCCTCCAGAAGCAAGTGGGATGTATGGAGACAGTGGGGGAAGTGACTCACACACCCCTCTCCTCTTCCTATTAAGAGGCGTGTGTGTGTGTGTGTGTGTATGCGTAAAATGTTGAATACTGGGACTGAATTTGAGAAACCTGTTCAACTGTCAATATATTTTGGTGGCCTTAGCAAGTTGCTAGCACTCAGTCTAACCTACCATACAGGGTTGTTGTGAGTCTTTGGGGAAAAATTGTTCTGAGCACCTTGGCACATGTGCAAATGGGGTGCAAATATAATAACCAGAGACATCCCAACTCTAGTAAAAATATTGCTGCAGCTTAGCTTGGGTGTAAAATGTGGCTGGAATCCTCAACTGCATGATAGAATTAGAGACACCCCCTAAATCAGGGGTGTCACTGGATAGGTTTCCTACATCCCTGAGCCTTGACTGCTAGCTGAGGCTGATGGGAGCTGAAGCTCACCAATATCTGGAGAGCCACAGGTTCCCTAGCCTTGTACAACAGACATGATGAGTTTGATTAGGTGTGGCAGGCCCCTTCATTTGACCAGTCAAACACTGTCAGTGGGTTTTGGTCAGATATTGAAAACTAATCCAAAAATGCTACTGTATCGACAGCAGCTTGTCTTGCTTTTATAATTTTATGGTGCTGTTTGTTAGCAATGGAGGCGTAAAGGCAGCTTGTCGCCTGGCATTGTATAAAACTCTGGGAGAAACCTAGTGGTATGGCAGAGCTTCTGTGGCTGCCAGTGTAGTTTAGTGGCTAGAGTCTTGGACAAGGATCTGGGAGACGAGGGTTCGAATCTCTACTCAGCAATGTGGCCCACTCTGTGACCTTAGGCCAGTCAATATATCTCAGCCTAATCTAATTGTCAGGGCTGTTGTGAGGGCAAAATGGGGAGCAAGGGGGAGGAGATATACTTGCTCAAACTCCTTGGAAGAAAGGTGAGATACAAATGTAAATACTGCTTGCATCTCCACACAGGAACACAAGCTGTCATCAGTAGCTGAGCAGACCAAGGAAACTCAAGTTCAAATCTTTAATCATCCATGAGACTGTTTAGGTGACACTGTGCCATTCACACACTTTTAAGACCTACCAATTCGTAGGGTTATAAGAATAAAAGAAAGGCAGGAAGGGCTATGTATGCATCCCTGGGAGGATGGGTTGAATGGGGAAAAAGTAATAAAATTAATAATTCATTACCACTGTTATTAAAGTTACCTGTTATTGGGAAACAATGGCATTATCTAATTTGTTTTTCAGTTTTGTGATTAGCATATGCATGAAAGCTCCTGCTGCTGATTAACCTCCTGCTTGTTCTTCCCATTGGTAAGAAAGCTGTAAAAATACATGACCAACAGTGGACTGATCCCTTTTAAACTGGTTCAAATCCCCAAGCTTAGTCTGAGAAAAAAATATTCTCTTAAGGTAATTGGCTATTATTTTAAAACCTTTGTACCCTAGCTTTCCTCAGTAGACCTCAATGCAGCTAGTAACGATAAAATTACAACAATTACTACATAGTCTGTCTCCCAAAAACAAATGTGCCCAATTTCCTCACATGCAGTAGGTTAGTCTTGCGCCATCTTGAGCAGATGAAACCAGCTCCCAAACCTACTTGATTTAATCCACTGCAGTTGAGAGATAGATTACACACTTACTATGGATAAGATGTGAGAACGGCTAAAGCTCACTGGTAGAGCATGTGTTTTGCATTTAGAAGGTCCCAGGCTTAAGCCCCAGCATCTCCTGGAAGGGTGGAGAAAGACCCCTGCCTGTAACTTTGGAAAGCTGCTGCCAGTCAATTGTCAGCTTACCAGTGTTTCTCCAGCTGACTACAATTCCCATCATCCCAGACCACGGGTCGTACTAGCTAGGGATGATGGGAGATGTAGTCAAAAAAACAGCTGGAGACCCAAGTCTGGGAAACACTGGTAGACAATACTGAACTAGATGGACCAATGGTCTAAGCCAGGTCCCTATATGTATAAAGGAGAGGGGGGCTGTAGTTTGGTAGTAGAGCATCTGCTTTGCATGCAGAAGATCACAGACTGGCAATGTTCTTTCTGAAACCCTAGAGAGCCACTGCCAGCTAGTGCAGACCAGGTGTGGGGAACCTTTGGTCCTCCAGATGTTGCTGAATTGCAATTCGCATCAGCCACAGCAAGCATGGCCAATGTGCAGGCAGGATGGGAGTTGTAGTTCAGCAACATCTGGAGGGCCACACATGGTGAAGATAGTACTGAGCTAGATGGACCCATGGTCTGATTCATTACAAGCCAGCTTCCTATATTTCCAAGCCGCTACCCACTTGAGTCAATTCTAAATCCCAACTTGTTGCTGATCAGCCTCATTCCATTGGAATTAATGTAACTAATTGTCATTTGTTGTAATAGCAGTAGTTCTTTGGAAACAAATGGGATCAGAGCTGTGGCATGTTGAGGATCAGCCTTAATCCACTGGAGTCAAGCCAGATCACAACTAGGTGCAGTCTCCCTTGAAACACTGGAGACAGCGGTCACAGCCACCATACATTTGAAGGCCATGGCTTTCCCCCAAAAAAATCCTGGGAACTGTAGGAATGGATATCCAGCTGATATACGTTGGGAAACAGCTGATCCACTGGTGTTAAGAGGACCAGATCCACAGCCTTTAAACCAGCCTCAGTTGTACCTCGATCTAAGGGAGTCAAAAGCCCAGATTCCCACTTGGTGTGCATTAGCTAACATCTGCTAGAAACAATATAACCTGGTTCCCTACTGTTTCCAATTAGCTTTGAGTTATTGGAATAAGCTCACAGTTCAGGGATGGGGGAACCTCTGGCCCTTCCGATGTTGCTCGCCTACTAGTCCAATCATCCCTGACCACTGGCCACACTGGCCGGTGCTGAGGGGAGCAGTAGTCTAACAGAAGCTGTAGGGCACAGGTTCCCCATCCCTAGGATAGATTCCCATCAGTCCTTGGAAGTGACTTTGGTCCCATTAACATCAACATCACACATTGAAAAGGATCCTGGGAACCATACATTCAGTCTGTGGGCCCAAGCTTAGGTAACTCTCTCCCAAATGAAAGGCCGCCCCTCCTTGCGGAACTTCAGGCACATGACAAAAGACTTTCTTGTTCCAGCAGGCAGTTTATGGTAGTGTTTGGTTTTATGGTAAAATTGTATTGTTTGAGTGCCCCATTTTTTGTGGATTGCTTTTATGTATGCTGCTTAGAAATGTGAATAATTAAGTGGTAGGTAAATGTTTTAAATAAATAATAGTTTGGTTAAGGGTGTTGGGAATTGTAGGTCTACGAGGGAAGATCTACATTCCCTAGGACTCTCTGGGGAAAGCCATGTGCTTTAAATGTATAGTGTAGATGTGGCAGAAGTTGCAGATCTTTCTCCTCAAACCCTTTCACCAAATGTGTTGCATTGCCCCTAGTGCAAAAACACGGTTGCAGCTTTGGAGCTGGTATGCTGGGTGGTGTTGACCAAAAAAAGAAATAAAGAAATGGCTCTTTCGCAGATCTTTATACCAATGTAAGGTCTGGCCCTTTCTATTAATAAAAGGAGAGAGACTGAGAGCTTTGTAGGAAGAGTCAACATCCCAAGTTTACTCTTACTTCTTCTGCCTAGCTAATATTCTTTGCTTTGAATGCATTCAAGCCTGATGGAAACTTTAAAGACGCAAGAGCCGATTTTAATATTTAAACATGTGTTCCTTCAGGCAAGGGGTTTGGGAAGAAGAGGGTGTATGAACTTGGGGGCTGTGGGCAGGGATTTAGCAGCGATATGAATTATTAGGCAGATTAAAGACTCCTCCAGGAATTGGGCTGTTTTTCTTTTTCTTTTCTTTTCTGGTTATGTGGTGAATGGAAGCTGAATTTACTCGGAAGCATCGCAACACACACCCAGCTCCATCCATCCTGTCCCACGCACTGCCAGATCAGATCTATATAATAGCTGCCAAGGGGTTCAGCTCCCAAATGTTGCCAGCTCTGTTGTTCAGAGACTTAGCATCACGACAAGATTCATAAGCAGTGTTGTAGTGCTAAATTCTGATATGAAGGCCCTCATTGTCATGGTTCTAAGGTCACGTGCAGGCTAGCACTATTTTGGGGTGATATTCCATCACATGCTGGCAAATTCTGGTTGCACAATTAAAAGTTGATTTGGGAGCCCACTCACAACAAACTCTTCCCCACAGACTGCTCCCCCCCCCCACACACAAATAGCCAACATTGTCTAACCTCCCTGCAATCAAATAAGGATAAATGCACAATGAACAGCTTATCTGGAAGCACCCTAAAACTATTCAACAGAAATGATTTTTTGACCAATATGGATGTTATATAGCTTGAATACAAAGTTGGCTTCCCCTGCCTCAAACTTAATATCTGGCCTGGTAATAAGTTCTGGTGGACTTAAAAGCTTGCCCACCATTTTGGATCACTTTGGTCATAATAAAAGGATTTTTATGTCATCATCCCCCCCCCCCCCAAAAAAAGTGTCAGTTTAACTCTTAGCATGCATGCTCATGTAAGTTACCTGTTCTTCTGCTTGGCTTATTTGGTTGGTTTCTCTCTGAGAAAAGCTTATTGATTGGCAAATAAAACCCTAGGAGGCAACATCATCATCCCTGCTGTGAAATAAGTGCCTGCACTCCCTTCCTGCTTCACTATGCCACTGTTCATAAAAACAAGGCGGTTCCACACCATACATTTGCAGAGCTTTCACAAGTATTTAAAATAAGTGGCTTCCCCCATGGAATCCTGGGAACTGCAGTCGATGCTTCACAGAGCTAAAATTCCCAGCACTCTTAAACCTCAGTTCTCAGAATTCTTTGGGGAAAGCCATGTGCTTTAAATGTATGGTGTGGGTGTGACCTGAGACATAGGTAGGCAACCACAGGTTCCCCATCCTTCTCTCAAATCAGCAGGTGGTGGACATTCTGTGAAAACCTAGGCCACTTGGCTCACATACCCCTTAAAAATATTCAGGTGCGATGGTGGGGAGACTTGGTGTTGATGCCAAATGCTAAAATTCTAGCTACGCAGAACAACACCACACACACACACAAAGCAGATGGATACTGATTCCTTCTGGGGAAAATAACCTTAGTAGTTTACATCTGATCAACCTCATCTGCAGCGACAACATCTGGGCATCAGTACAGCACAGTTTTCCCATGCTGAAAAATTGCTGTCAGGTTAGAGAGAGGTAGATTTCATCATCCTAATTTACCTTACTTTTTTAAAAAAAGACAAAAAAGAGACGTGTGTGTAGATGGGAAATCCCAATAACTGGATTGTTGCCTCTGGGATGAGCCTGTTGCATCTTTGTCAACTCTTTTTGTTCCCTGCCCTTTCTATAATGCATTCCCACGCCAAGTACAAACAGTGAAGGGGGGGTGTCAATTATTTAGCAGACTGTTATGCCCATGGCCTGTTAGAAAGAAGTGTGTGAGAGAGTGTGGCTGAACAAACAGAGGTGTCTGTGTCTCATACACACCCTCTTTTCTGCCATTGGCTGAGCTGCTCTGATGTCACAAAACAGGTTGTGTAGCCCTAGGGTTTGGCATCTGAGTACTAAAGAAAAGGCTAGGGAGGGGCCTTTAATAAATAATTGTAAGGTTAAAATCCTCCAGCCAAGGACGCAAAGCAGGGGCAGTAAGGAAAGTGGCCAGGGAAGAGGGGGCGTGGCTGGGGAAGGGGAGTGGTGTGGGGAGGGTCCCAAGGACCAGGCAGTGAGATTCTGAGGGCCGCATTTGGCACCTGGGCCCGAAGTTCCCCACCCTTGGTCCCCATGTCACTTGAGGAGTTTCAGTGTTTGTGTGTGACTATGCATGTTCTTGCACTGAATGGGTTTGCTGTTTTAAAATGTTCACAGCTAACAGTCCTTCAGTATAACAGCAAGTTGGCATACGTGGAGGCCAGTGTGACAGAGTGGCCATAGCATTGGGACTTTGAATCTGGGTTTCACCCAGTTTGAATTCCCGCTTAGCCATTAAATTCACTTGGTGGCCTTGGGCCAGTTAGGTATTCTCTTTCAGATTCACCTACCTCAAAGGTTTGTAGTGAGGATAAAAATGGGCAAGAGGAAACCGCAAGGCCACCCTGAGCTCCTTCAAAGAAAGACTGGGCAAAAATATAAGAGTTAGATCTATGTTGCATCATTAATTTGCCTTGACCAACCCAGCTATCTCAGAATACTGTATCTGCCAACACAGACATCCAGAAAGATGAGACTGGGGTGTGGTGTGATGTAGTGTCTGTCATGTTGGACTTGGAATCTGGATCTCACCCTGTTTGAATTCCTGCTCACCTGTACAGCTCACCAGGGAACGCCACCATGGCTTGAACCCAATGCCTTAGGCATGCAAAGCAGATGGCCTACCAATGCCATCTCTGACAAAATTGATTTGAAGTAATATTGTAATTTAAACAGGAGTGCCCCAATCATAAACAGACTGCCTTTTTTCTCAGTCATAAGCAAAAGCAGCATGTCCCACATACTTAGAATGGTAGAGACTTTTAATCTCAGGGTTGTGGGTTCAAGCTGCATGTTAAGCAAAAGATTCCAGCATTGCATGAGGGTCGGGCTAGATGACTCTTAAGGTCCCTTCCAACACTACAATTCTATGATTCTAAGGAGGAATGCTTCTCCAACCCCTGAGTCCCCTCTCAGGAAATTAAACCATGCACCAAGCCTCCCTTGACAACACCCTGAGAACACCTTTTTGTGTGTGTTTAACTTACCTTTTAAAAGTAAGATCTTTAGAGTACTACTTCACATACTTCCACAAAACTTTGTGCCCATTTTCATCACCGGATACAAGCAAAAGCACGGATCACTTTGCAGAGACATGTTTTCTGGCTCAGTATAAGATTTAAATCTTTTCCCCCCATTCCCACACGCATAACGCCTTTTCTTCTCCATTTGTCAAGTGAGCAAGGTATCTGCCCAAACGTGTGCTTGCAAGTTCTTAAATCTCAGAGCAGCTCAGAGTTAGCAAAGTTTATGTTAACTTGAAGATCCACCCTTCTGGATCAGCCCCAAGGGCCATATGAACATAAGGAGATCAAGCTGCTGGATCAAGTCTGTGGTGGCCCCTCTCGTCCAGCACTCTGTTCTCACAGTGGCCAACCAGATGCCTTAATAGGAAGCCCACAAACAGGAGAGTGTAACAGCAACCCTCCTCACTTGTGATTCCCAAGTTTTCAGAGACAGACCGCTTCTGACAATGGAGGTAGAACATAGCCACTGAATTTGAGCCATAAGTTACTGGCCACCACTCTGTCTTGTGGGGGTGAATTTCATAGTTTAGCTATGTGCTGTGTGAAGAATCTATGAAATGTGAAGTCCAGCATCCTGTTTCTGACAGGGGGCAGCTGGAGGAGCATGGGCAGTTCACAAACCATGCCATGAAAGCTACAGCCCTTCCCTCTTTATCTCCAGCATCCAGCCACTGGCTTAGAATGAACTTAGGACTCACCTACTTTCATATGAATTGCTCAGGTTCAGCAAAGCTTTCCAAGGCTTCAAGTTTGCTAGGTGAAAGCAAGGCTCTTTGTGTGCAGAGAAGCTAAGGGAAGGGTTGCAAAGTGGATGCTAATTATCTTGCAAAGGTGCTGATCGCATATTACTGTTTTGTTTTTTAACCTAGTAAGGTATCAGGCTCTCAGATACCTCAACTACAATAACTTTGTAAAGCAAACTTGAAAGAAAGTGAAAAGGAAGTTGGAAACAAAAGGCAAAAATCTGGTGATTGGATTTCAAAAGCGAGGGAAACTGTTGATGTGGAGTTACTCACCAAAGTGAGGATGCAGAATGCGTTTCTAATACAGGAATGCTGAGAGAGGCAAGCAAATGGCCAGATAACAAGAGCATTCTGCAGAATGCAAAAATAGCCGGATGGCAGATAGAAGTGAATTAATGCATACCAATTGGTACCCAAGGGGATACTTGCCAGAAAACGTGTTATTTTAAACATTTCAAAATAGATTCATCTGATACATATCCTCTCTTCCCCACACCCCTCAAATTCTGTGCTAAGAAGCATCTGTCTATCTGCCAGTCACTCTCCCATCACACCAAGAAATAGAACCCAAGGCGGAGATAAGTAGACTAAAGGGGAGGAGCTATGCAGAAGCAGGCCAGCTCTGCTCTGGGGTGTTTCCCATGGGAAACAAGCCCATGTGATGTGGAACAAAGATCAGAAAGGGGATAGCTGACCTTTTCCACATCACAAATACTTAAATCACAGGGTTTAGGTTTACTCTTGACGTATGCAGCGCGAGGGGATAAACCTCCATTACAGTGGTACCTCGAGTTACAGATGCTTCAGGTTACAAACGCTTCAGGTTACAGACTCCGCTAACCCAGAAATAGTACCTCGGGTTAAAAACTTTGCTTCAGGATGAGAACAGAAATCGCGCGGCAGTGGCGGGAGGCCCCATTAGCTAAAGTGGTGCTTCAGGTTAAGAACAGACCTCCAGAACGAATTAAGTTCTTAACCTGAGGTACCACTGTACTAACAAATGGCACCATATTTTTTTGAAAGTTGTTTGTTTGTTCACTGTGCATTTGGACAATTATTAAGATACAGTCAAACCTCGGTTGTCAAACGTAATCCGTTTCTGAAGACCGTTCGACTTCTGAAACGTTCGATAACCAAGGCACGGCTTCCGATTGGTTGCAAGAGCTTCTTGCACTCAAGCGGAAGCTGTGTCAGACATTCAGGTTCCTATGTTTGAATATCATTGGACACCATTTTGAATCAAGATGGTGGATTGAACCTTTCAAAGATGCACTGCTGCAATAGCTAGTTTCAAAACTGGTCAGATTTTTGGGAGTTCCTGAGCAGTGGCAGGTACAAGGCTGCTGGTAAAATGATAAAAACAAAACATAAGCTGCTGCTTCTACAGTAACATTCGTGGATTAGTTTACAGGTTCCTCATCCCTCTTTTAACCAGAGACTCTGGGAGATTGAAGCTGCAACCTTCTACATGAAAAGCATGTGCTCAGCTACTGAGCCATGATCTCTCTGTTGGAATATATCCTGGCCTGGTATAAGGTATTCAGCCCAATATTGTATACTCTGACTGGTAGAAGCCAGTTGAACCTCTAACCTTTGGCATGTAAATCATTACCACTGAGATCTGTCTTTCTGCCTCCCTCCCAGGGAAATGGTACAACAGGACCATAAGAAACTGCCTTAAAGGAGCTCGGGCTGTTTGGCCATGTAACCCAGTGTTGTCTACCCCAGCGGGCAGCCACCTGGCAGGACTTTTAAGGTGTTTGAACCCAGCACCCTAAGTAAAAATCATACCCCCTGTCTACACTTCCCCCAACTGGGTGCTTTCCAGATGCTGTTGAGACTAAAACTTCCATCATCCCTTACAAACGGTCATGACATTGTAGTCAGACATTAAGAGGACACCAGGCTGAGGAAGGCTATAAAACCACACAAGGGTGTCCTCCAGGTGACCTGTTTACTGAGCATACATCCTGATTTGCTTGCACAAAGTTTATGCAGAAGTTAAATTATATTCAGTCTCTAGGGAGCATTTGTTCAATTGTTTGCAGGGAGGTTATACGATTAAAAAGCATCCATCCCGATTTGTTAGTGCAATGCTTATGTCTTCCTGGTAATCACTGATTCATCCCACACTTTTCAGCACATTTCCCGAACGCTTCCTTAACCACAAAAAGGCCATGTTTTTACAAAGCATATTTTTCTCACTACAAGAGAGCCCTTTAATCCGCTTTAACTGTGCAAGCCTAAAATTTCTGGTGTGCATTTGAATCCTTGCCTCAAAACACCTGATGGTATGGAGGTGACCAAGGTCACTGCAGTATGCAGCAGACCTGGGAGATTTTTCAATATATCGTTCAAGTCAGTTATGAAGTCCACAACACCATAACGGTTTCATAAAATGTTATTTGGCAAACATCGCGATTTTGAGAAAACCGTGTAGCCGGCAAGTGCTTTTTAGTGCTTCCTCCTGCAGGAGCAGCAAGCGACTCACAAGAGCAGACGTAGCAGCCAGCACTATGTTTCTTTCGAGCCCCGGCTCAGCTCTGCTGCCTCTGCAAGAGCAGGTGTCGATTATGAAAGGATTATGAAAGTACGTAGCTGGGAAAACAACAGCTTCTTTTGATTTTGCAGCAAGCCACGGCTCAGCAGGCTAGTAGTGGTCAGAAGGTGTGATTTACAGAGATACTGGTCTGAGCTGCCTCGGGGCTTCTTGCTGGGAGCCCCCTTCCCCCTTTGCCCCTTCCTTACCCACCCACCCCCAAAATAAGAAACTGGGGTTGTTTTCTTCAGAGTAAGAACAAAAGACATTGCCCTGTAACTTAACTCTTTTTCTTTATTCCCATCTCCCCTTCTGCCTGTGTGTGTGCGCGCGTGTGTGCATGCATGCGCAAAAAGCCTTTCTCTCCCCTTCCTGGTGCCTTTACTACCCTTCTGAGGCTGGGATTGATCACCTACCCCCACCCCTGTGTAAAAGAAAGAACAAAAAAAGACAAGTTGCTGTGTAAGACATTGTTGGTTTGCCTTCCATAGCTTCCCTCATGTAAAAAGGAAGTTAAAAAAATAATAATTAAAGGATGCTACCTCGTTGCTTGCTTGCCCTTCCTCCTTTCCTTTGATAAAAAAGGAGAGATTGGTGGGATGGGGGCTTTGGGGGGGCCCTTCTGTGTCACAATAGGGGGAAATGAAGGGGGGAGATTTAACAGTTGCTACCTGGATGCTGGAAATGGGAAATTGGGTGGTTGTTGTGAGGGGAAAATGATGGGGAGGGTAGGTGCTTGTCGTTAAGCAGTGCAAGCAAATGCGTGTCTACTCAGAAGCAGGCCCTAGTGAATTCAATGGGGCTTATTTCCAGGAAAGTAGAAGTGAGTAGCTGAACTGAGTGGGGCTTACTCATGCATACAATTGCAGTTGGCCCTCAGAGTGGGGAAGGAGATGCAACTTGACACTAGTAAATTACATAAATTATTCTTAAATTAGTAGAAAACAGACTAAATTGTTAATCATATGCAAGTTTAATTAATATTTTTACTATATCCGCTACTTTTGTAAATTTTAAATTTGCCCCTAAAACTGCATAGAACATTAATATATTCTCCAGAAATCTTTAATGGTTTAGTTGAAGCATGCTATCATTGAGGTAATTGTCATATAATTATATGCATCAAGTTTAGATTTTTGTTGTTGTTGTTCAATATTTTCCCAGATTATTTGTATTCAATATGTCTCATCACTGTATTTTGGATTGTCCTGGACCTGAATACCACTATTTGGTATCCAAGCCCCAAACCAAAGTCCTGTTTGGATGGCTTGCCTGCTGAAGTAAGTGATGATTTCATCAGTGTGTGGTGATTTAGACCTGTAACCTAGTAGCAGTTGCCAGGACATAACCATGTTCACCTCTACATAGCTCCATCTTATTTCAGATATCGCGATGTTTAGCTGGTGATATATCAGGATACTGAAAACCATATATCACCCAGCCCCAATATGCAGGCCTCCTCCCACCACATAACACATTTACCCTCTCATAACAACAGGCATTTTGCTCACTTTTAACCAGGTCTCAATCAGCACTGCATAAATTGGCACCCATATTTAAGATCACTTAATACAGATTAGCTCCCCGCCCCTGGCTGCCATGAAACATGGTTATGCATATCCAGTGTGGTTGGATTAAATGGCGGATTTCTCTCCCCATTTTTTAAGCTCACTTTCATGGAAGCGTTTACACACTCCTGTGTTCTGTTTTTATTCCAC